TAGTATTCTCCTCCAACACCACAACTCAAAGGCGTCAATTCTTCTATGGTCTTCCTTATCCAGCTTTCGCATGCATATGAGGTTATTGAAAATACTGTGGCTTGGGTCAGGCACACCTTAGTCCTCAAGCTGAAATCTTTGCTCTTCAACACATTAAAAAGGTCTTGTGCAGCAGATTTGCCTAATGTAATACATTGTCTGATTTCTTGACTGCTGCTTCCTTGAGTGTTGATAGTTGATCCAAGAAGAATGAAGTCCTTGACAATTTCAATCTCTTCTCTGTTGATAAGACTGTTGTTGTTTATTGGTCCAGTGGTGAGGATTTTTGTTTTCTTTACATTGAGATGCAATCCATACTGAAGGCTTGCTCTGTGATCTTCATCAGTAAATGTTTTAAGTCGATTTTAACGTTTCTTTTATATTTTCCATTTGTAAAAATCACCTTGGATACATTCAGAATATTACTTTTGCATTTATCTTTAATCACTAATTCTATTTTCAATTGTATATAATCTCCCAATCTGTCTGTCTATTAAGGTCTTAATTTAAATTGTTAACCTTTTTACTTCTCAAGGTTCTATTTGGGTCCTCTTCAAATCATTTCTGTACAATCTCTATTATTTTCTCATGTTTACGAGCAACTTTTGTGCTGCTTAAATATTTTAGACCTAAATATCTTATGTCTTGTTATGTTCCCAAATCTGAAATATTTGTGGGTCTGATGCTAGTTTGTGGCTTCTGCCAGTACCTGTTCTTGATGTATTGTTTCTTTTTCTTTTAACTTGATCTCAATTTCTCTAGAAATTTTATGATGGAAATAATTAGAAGCCTAGCAATCTGTGTATTCTTGTGTCATTTACCTGTAGGCACAACCAAATGGCATTATTTAAAATAAATTCACAGGTTAAAAATGTGGCCTAGACAGTAGGCATGTGGTTACAAAGTTTCAAAGGAAAATGTTATTCCTGTATCCAGTGCCAACTTCAAACGTTGCCAGTTTCTTTTCTGTGCCCTATATGACAATGTGTTCACTTTAACAACCAGAAAGCTACTGAACTCCCACTGGACTGCTGTGATTGCTATCCTGACCTCTACGTTCCTCACAACTTACAAAACCCAGAAGATCCAGGTCACCAGATGCTGTCAACAATGTCAAGTCAAAATCAACTTCTAATGCTTTTGTACCTCCCAGGATACTTGTTTGTACCTGCCTTTTGGCCTCTGCCAGTTTCACACGTTCTTCTTGGCTCATTCCCTTTTGGTCGAGTATAATTTACAATATTTGCTGTGCTGCTGAAAAGTAGAGGTCTCCTTTGATTTTCTAATTGCCAGATCTACTGGCTTCTCTTTTGATCTCACATTATGTGACTTTTGCAACCTACTCTTCCTGAACTATAACATTTAATCCTAAAACAAACATCTCTTCTTATTCTTTTTCTGACACAATTCCTTTCCAGTCCCTTAAAGGATATTTTTCCAGAATTTCATTCTAGTCGAGGGTTCACACATTCAAATACTTGCAGGTGAGTCATCCTCGTGTAATACAGTATCTTCCTTAGGACAGGTCATCAGAAATGTATTAAAGTTTCTTTTCCATAATCTGGAGGATATTTGGGTAAGAATCAGCACCAATACATAGGTCTTAGCCTTGCTGTACAGGGGCTGAAGTGTTGCTCACAAGAACTATGCATTCTTGAAGAAGTGTAGAGAAATTTCTTTATGATAGGTGAAAATTTGAGGAAATAGGGCAAGAAGACTGTGCTTGGGGAGTTCTGCAGCAACAGACAGAGAAGACTTGCTTAACACAGTTCAAATGCATGTTCATAAGGTAACTCAACAAGGGAGTGACAATAGTCTCTTCAAAACACCATCTTCATGAGAATGATAGACTTAGTAAGTGATTTTTGTTGTTAGATACCCTCGAGTCGGTTCCAACTAAAGTGATCCTATGTGTGAGGGTAAGTCAAAACATGCACAGGTTTGGTCCAATCAAAGCGTGTTTAAACGTGTCTCTGCGATCCACGGATGTTTACAGACTAGGTCTCTCAGTAGTACACGTGTCTTAGTCTTATTAGGGTGCCTTCAAAAAAAAAAGGTCCAATCAGAACAGTGGCTTCCAAGGGGATCTGACAGACCACTTAATTCAATGAAGAAAGATCAGCTCAAAAGGTTAAAGCAACCATTGTGCAGGGATTCCACAAAGGTAATTCTGATAGATTTTCTTGAAGACACACAATGATCAAAGGGGCTTATTATATAGTTTTCAGAAAATTGAAAACTGTATTAGTGAAAAAAAGGCCAGGAAAGTTGCACCAAGGCGACTTTTCCATCATGACAACGGTGCTTGTTCTTTGAGGTAGCAAGGGCTGTCCTAGGAGCATTTCATTGAGAAATCCTACCTCATCCATCTTAGAGCACTGACCCGACCCTTTAAGACTTCTTTTATTCCCCAAACTCAAAGACCCTTTAAATGAAACATGGTTTGAATCCCCTGACATGCCAAGACTGCCATTTTGATGTGGTGTAAATTGGAGTGAACAAAATTGCTTGGGGAAAGGTTAGAGAGATGAAAACACGTCTTCAGAGGTGTATAGACCTAGATGGAGCATATGTTGAGAAAAACGGTTTCACAGTTAGATATTTTTGTTTAATAAAGTTTTCTACGATTTTGTAGCAATATATATATTTTTAACTTATCCTCATGTAACAGAATGAAACTTGCCTGATCCTAACTTAATCCATCTCTCCCCAAGGAAAATGAAGGTACGTATTTTACAGATCCTGTGGAAACCAGGTCTGGGAGGAAAGAAAATCTATTTATTACATGTAAGGTTGAATACAGTTTTCCTTCTTTTTGAAAAATCTTCAGAAGAAGTTGCAGGATCTTGTGCCTGTTAACACATGAAACCTTTCCAGAACAAAACTGTTTGCCACTCCTGAGAGTTCAAGATTCCTCTGCACCCTTTCTCCTTTTCACTTCACTCTAAAGCTCTACAATATTAGTGAATAACAGTTAAGAAAATAATAACACTTTAATCTATTTAAGGAGCTCTGGTAGTGTAGTGGTTACGAATCAGGCTGCAAGCCTCAAGGTCAGCAGTTTGAAACTACCAGCTGTTCTGCATGAGCAAGATGAGGCTTTCTGTTCCCAGAAAGATTTACAGCCTCGGAAACCCTGTACAGGGTCGCTATGAATTGGAACGGATTCCACGGCACATAACCACCAATATATTTGGGGTATAATTTCTTCTTTCTGAGGCCTGTACTCTCTAATAAGAAAGCTGTTATTTTATTCTGTCTCAGACAGATGAGTCTCAGGAACAGATGATTCTGAAATTTCCAAAATCAAGTGTAAAACAGATTTCTTAAAGTCATGTAATACAATTTCAGGAGGTTGGGATCGGGAGGAGGAATTATGTCAAAGGACTTGTACATCAGGTGCAGTCCTATTCATTCAATACAGGGAGCCCAGGCCTAGCACAATGCCTAGAATACCACAGGCCCACAAAGTAAGTTTACTGATTTACATCATGTGCAGTATTTCCCCCCAAACCGATAACTTGTCTACTAATGTTCTTTGTTGTTCTTGTTATTGTGCACTGTTGAGTCATTCTGACTCTTATTGACCCTGTATAAGGTTTCTGAGGAGCAGAACCAACAGCTGGGAGGTTAGCAGTCCAGTGCTGATCCTACAGTGCCACACCAGGACTCCACTAACGTTCTTAGGGACTCGCCAACCCACTCCTATTTACTGCTTAATGCTGCCTCCTGGGGAAGGGAGGAGGAGCCTTGGTAGCAAGTGTATCCCTTACCCTTGCTGCTTTGAATTGTGATGTCTATGAGGAGACTGAAAATTCCTGAAAAGTAGTTGAATAGTACAAGCTTGATGTAGGCATTAGTACTTTCAGAGAACAGAAAACTCATCAGGTACGTGAAGGGAATGGCACACCAGCCATACAGCACGAAGATAAACATCGTGTCCAGGAAATGATCTTCCATGACAAACACTTCTATTTCACAGTATTTTAACACACCCTGAAATACAAAGATAAAGGCAAGGTGAAGGAAAAGTATAAAAACAAATTAAGCCAGAATCTTTAGAGAGGGACCTAAGTAATCCTGCCTTTATCTATCATAAAAACTATTCATTAATTAAATCAATTTGTCTCTTTAAAAAATAAACGTGCATTATTTTCACTTCTTCCTCAGCAGAGAACAGTGAGCACATCCACTGTACTCTTCCCCACTGCCCACATAGAAACAGTTTAATTTATTCATTTTAGTTTACTAACCAAGTCAGTGTAATGAAGTTGATACTGGTGTTCTGGAGTTTCCCCAATAAACTTAATTCTCAGCTTTCTCAGAAAGTGGCTTTCTTTACAGAGAGATGATTTCTCTAAAGATTTTCCCTCTGATTACTGTGGGATGACATAAGTACCTTGCAGTGTTCTCCACCTTCAGACTTGACCTCCTGGCTACATTCAACTACCTGACACCCTTAAAGTTAGGACTCTAACTTAAACCTTTCAATTCACACTGAAAACCAGACAGTGGAACACAACATTACCAGTTGCTGTCCAGTTGACTCTAATGCCCACCCCAGGTGTAATGAAACTCTGCTCCATAGGGGTTTCAATGGTGGGATCTTTCAGAAGTAGATCACTAGGGAAAATAACAGCTTAGTCATACATACCGTGCAAATCCTTACAGCAAAGACACAAGCAACCAAGTGAACCAGATAGAGATGACAGCCTCAGAACTCTGAGCAGCAAACAGAAGGATGATGAATAAGAGCAAACACCGAATGGATGGGGAAAATAGATAGAAACGATGAACAAGGATCATAGTTCCACTGACAGCCAGCTTAGCAAAGTGTGGTCATCATGATGTAAAGCAAGCAGTGTTCCTGGGTATAGACTACAGGAAGACAACTCAACAAATCTCCAAAAGGAGACAGAGATACAGTGTCGACAAATCCAAAATGAAGCAAGGTGCTATCTGCACCTCTGTCTAGTGCCTTTATCCAACATCTGCATAGCTGCAATATCACACATTGCACACCAAACAATTCAAGCAAGCCCAATGCACATGCACTGAGACCTATTGATTCCTCAGCATCTACTGAACTGCCGATTTGAGCATACACAGAGGGCCTATCCCATACGTTTGGGAAACACTCCCTCATAGTGGATATGGCAGTGCCCTGCCCTGATCTCCAGAGGACACACTAACTGCTAGCACCAACCAGGAGGGACACCATGGTCCCACAAGAGATGTGGAGAGACCCTGACCATCTAACACTGGGTCATTCAACATTTTGGGAAGAACCTACTCTCCCATTCACCAAAATGCCTCAGAGACAGCTGACAATAACTAATAGTAGGCATACACAGGATAAGGTGGCTTTCAGACATGAGTGAAACAAAGAACAAAGAACCTTTCTGTGGAAGAGATGGAAATAGAACTACCAGATAAGGAATTCAGAGGGCATATAGAGTATCCTCATGGAGATTAAGCAAAAAACTGACAACACAGCCCAAACCCTATAAGAACTCAGAAAAGCAAACAGGAACAATATTACAAAATGCAGACAATTAGAAACCATACAAAAGCAATCACAAGAAATTCAGAAGATTAACAATAAAATATCAGAAATAGATGACTCAATGGAAGGACAGAGAAGTAGAACTGAGTCAATGGAATAAAGAACCAGTGAAATAGAGGACAAATCAATTGAGTAACAGAGAGATGAAAGAATAAAGAAAAATTAAGAAAACCTAAAAGTTATGTGACACACTATCAAGCGGAAGAATTAACATGAAATTGGAATTCCAGAAGAATAAAAGAGAATACACAAGGCACCACTCATCTGTCAGTTTGTCATACAGTGGTGGCTGTATGTTACTGTGATGTTCAAAGCATGAATACCAGCATGGATAGTCATGGTGGACAAGTTTCCTAAGACAAAATAGGAAGAAGACAAGCGGACTACTTCGGAAAGATTAACCACTGAAACCTTAATGGCTAGCATGGAACACTGTCTGATATATTACCAGACAATGAGTCCCTCAGGTTCCAAGGCACTAAATTATGCTCACGAAGAACCTGTACATAGATCAAACACAACAAGGGGACACCAAATGGTTTAAAATTAGGAAAGGTGTGCACCATGGTTGTATTCTTTCACCATATTTATTCAATCTGTATGCTGGGCAAATAATCCCAGAAGCTGAATTATATGAAGAAGAATGTGGCATCAGGAGTGGAGGAAAACTCATTAACAACCTTCAATATGCAGATGATACAACCTTGCTTGCTGAAAATGAAGAGGGCTTAAAATACTTTCTGATAAAGATCAAAGATCACAGCCTTTCGTATGGATTGCACCTCAATGTAAAGAAAACAAAAACCCTCACCACTGGACCAATGAACAATATCAATATAAATGGAGAAAAGAATAAAGTTGTCAAAGACTTCATTTTGTTTGGATCCACCATCAACACTCAAGGAAACAGCAGTCAAGAAATCAACCAATCAATGTATTGCATTAGGCAAATCAGCTGCATAAGACCTATTTAAAGTATGCAAGAGCAAAAATGTCAGTTTGAGAACTAAAATGGCATTTTCAATATCTTCATGTGCTTGTTAAAGTTGGACAGTGAAGAAGGAAGACCAGAGAAGAACTGATACATTTGACTTATGGTGGTGTATGAGAAGAATATTAAAAGTACCATGGACTACTAGAAGAACAAAGAGATTTGTGTTGTATTTTAAACAAGAATGCTCCTTGGGAACCAGAATGGTGGCATTCTGTCTCTCAAACTTTGGACATACTGTCGGAGGGACTGTTTTCTGGAGAAAGATACCAAGGTAAAGTGGAGGGTCAGCAAAAAAGAGGAAGACCTTCAACCAGATGGACGGACAGCAGCAAAGGGCTCAAGCTTAACAACGATTGTGTTTCATTCTGTTGTGCACAAGGTCGCTGTGAGTCGGAATTTACTTGTCATCACCTAACAACAACAACAAATGCTTGTTAACAGAAGGCTGGTTAAACAAACTTTGGTACGTACAGTCATTGGTATTCGATGTAACATTGAATAATAATGATGAATCTGCAAAACACCTCACAACATGGATAAACCTGGAGGATATTATGCTAAATGAAATCATTGTTGTTGTTGTTAAGTGCCGTCGAGTCGGTTCAGACCCATCGCGACCTGTATAGGGTGTCCGAGGAGCAGCTGGTGAGCTTGAACTGCTGACCTTGCAGTTCAAATGGCTTTGCAGTCTGGTGCATTAACCCACAGCACCACAAAGTGAAATTAGACAATAACAAAAGGACAAATATTGTATGAGACCAATGTTGTAAAAACTCAAGAAAAGGTTTTCTTAATAAAAGAAAAGAATCAATGATAGTAACAGAGGGGAGGGAATATTATTCACAATCTAGAGGCTAGACACATGCTAACATGGGTGACAGGGGAGGCAATATACAAGAGGCAGGTTAGCCAAGGAAAGATGAAGGCAGTGGGGGCCACAGGGTGCAATGCAAGAGTTCAAGTGAATAGAGGGCAATACTATTAACTGTTGGTATGTGGATTGCAATCACTGTACTGAAGACAGTATATGATTTGCTGAATGTAAAACTGATGATCTGCTCTGAAAACCTTCACTTAATTCACAATAAAAGTTAAAAATAAGTAAATAAATAGATCATTCTGACATCTGCAAAGACACCCCTAGTGCCACATCCTTTTCTGAATCTGACTTGACTTTCTGGCAGTCCTCTGGTCAATGTACTATTAACATCCAGTTCTGAGTTATCTGGATGATGTTGTTGTTAAGTGCCATTAAGTCAGTTCCCACTCATAGCAACCCTGTATATGGCTTCTGAGGAGTGGCTGGTGTATTTGAACTGCTGTCCTTTCAGTTAGCAGTCCAGTGTTTAACCTACAGCACCACACCAAGACTCATCTGGATAATAACAAATGTTAAATAATATATTGATAAACCCCCCAGAGGAAACTAGGAAATCTTGCCATAGAAGAGAACCCCCCCACCCAAAGACCCAATATGTTACAACACAGGGCAAGATGCGGTAGTGAACAGGGGGACAGGTAAGCCAGTTTAGATCAATTTCTCATGTCAGCACACACTGATGTACAAACAGATAGGAAGTTATTCCATGAGAGGTCTTTCTCCTTCTGCAATCAACGTTATTTTCTTCTAAGAAAGAAATGAATATTATGTAGAAATCTTCTATCATGATACCTTTGATTTGTATCCTAAGATGTGCAAATAGTTTACTGTCAGAGTTAGGCTGATGGCACCATTAGAGACTAGAAGTAGAGAACAAAAGTGAGCCCTCAAAAGCCTGTATCTTATACTCACCAGTAGTAAGCAGCAGGATATTAAGAAGATGATGTAATCCCACAAGAGAGCAGTAAGCCAGTATATAACGACATAGATCCCACTCACAAGCTGGATGTGCTTTACCTTTGTGACTCTCTCAGTCACTGTCAGGAGGCAAAACCCACTAATCAAAAGAGCCATGCCAAAATGCACATTCAAGGACACGCTGCCCCCATCTAAATTCCTACAGAAGAAGGAACAGAAACGTATATTAGAAAATCAAGAGTGGAAATCAAGATTTCTACCAATAGTTATTTTTGTCACAGGAATGTAATCAGGATTATTAGAAATACACAGAAAGTATAATAAAACTAACTCTAATGAACAACATAACATACTTGGTTAGGATGCCTTCAATATCATGGAATGGCTGAGGTTTATTGTACACTGTTAAGGAAGCTCCAGGCCCAGAAAGTGACTTGAAGAGAATGTTGTCTAACACTGCCAGGGATGTGGATGGTGAGTGGTATGCTTCATTGTTGAAAAGAACAGTAAACACTGTTTTGTTTGCTTTCTCCTCAATGGAGAGTGCAGCAATGCATAAGGAAACACAGTCTTTATTTTCCACCAAGTAATTCAGCAGATCCCCTAGGATGAGGAAACAATATTGGTCAATGTATCCACAATACAGATTATTTACAGTATTTGTTGGCGAAGAGAAACCAAACTTGATTCTAATCCATTTCCATTTTCCAACAGTGGTTATTTTAAACATTTCTATATTTCTCAAGCATTCTATCCCATTACTAAATGCCAAGCTTTCTTGCTTCATGCCCAATAACCTAACCTTTACTACCTCACTGAGAAAACACAAGCAACATGGTATATAGTCTTTTCAACTTAAATTTCCTCTTCTTCAATTTCATCTGTTAGTACTGCCACTTATAGCTATGATATATTACTTTATAGCAGACAAAACTTTCTCTGCACAGCCAGAAAAACTGGATACAAAACAAGACATCATCTCTTTGAGACAGTAGAGAGCTATAAAGTCAAACAACATTTGGGAGTCAAATATGAGAGAATGAAATGTATTGAGGTGCTCCCAAGATTTTATACCCTTATAGATTCATTTATAGACTAATGTAGATGTTGTTGTTAGGTGCCATCGAGTCAGTACTGATTCATAGCAACCCATGTACAACAGAATGAAACACTGCCCAATATAGATGTAGGTACCTTGTAAGTCCCCAAACTGGCCATGGCACTCAGGAAGGACTACTTAGGAATAATGATGAGCAAGAAATAGATCACTGCTTATAAAACTTCAAATTACTTTAACCTCTAATTGGATTCCTATCTTCCATTAATTTTTACTGCCTGTTAGAAGCAAAATGAAATCTTCTGCAGACATGCTGCCATCTGGCATTCAATACAAAATCATGAATTAAACCAGGGAACAGAGAAAGCACAGAATACAGAGAGTAGAAACAGACCCACAAGTGAACTATATATTTGTCGTTGTTGTTGTTGTTAAGTGCCATCGAGTCAGTTCTGACCTGTAGCGACCCTGTAGACAGTTTCCAGGGAGCGACTGGTGAGCTTGAACCACCAATCTTGCAGTTCAAACTGACTTTGCAGTCTAGCGCATTAACCGACAGTGCCACACCAGGAACTATATCTAGAGATGGAGAATTTCCCAGAAAACCAGAGTCCCTGAAAAGAATCAAATGGTGATTTTTTTTTTGAAAAAATTTCTTGGAAAAGGTGGGGCAAGATGGTGGTATGATGGTCACTCTTAATTATTCCCCTGCAACTAACCCAATGAACAACAAATACAGATAGGTACAAATTATTATCTCAGAACTCCAGAAAGCAGCTGAAGTGTTGGAGAGCTGAGGTTAAGTCACAAAATATAAGAAAGGAGGAATGGAGTTGGCAAAGAAGCAGGAAGTTTCTGGATGCTGCCATCTGGAGGACTTGGGTTATTGTGGCCATCAGGAACAGGGAGGGGCAACATCTTGATTGGTGCTAAACTGAAGAAAGTGTAGTGGGTGTACGGTACCACAGTTGTCTAAGGGAATTCACAAGTCATACACTTGAGGAAAGGGGCATACGAAAATGAAAGTAATGCCAATAAGTGCTATTGAATCTCGGCAAGACCTAAGGCTGGCAGATTTTGGGACCTAGGTCCACTGAAGAGTCTTGGGACTCAGCCATCAACCAGGGCCAGAAAAATACAGCAAACTGGCAACACAGTGGAAAACAACTCTCTCTAACTATAACAAGATACCATGGAAAGCTTGCTCAGGATCATCCATAAAGTAAGGACATATAAATTTCCTCCACCCTCACCTTCTATAGCCCCTGGAGAAGGACATCTTGCTTGGTAAAGTGGAGGGTCAGTACAAAGAGGGGGATCCTCAACGAGATGGAGTGGCACAGTGATAGCAGTAATGGACTCAAGCGTAGCAGCAACTGTGAGGATGCCACAGGTCAGGTCAGTGTTTTGTTCTGTTGTACACAGCAGCAATATAGGTTGGAACCAACTTGATGACACCTAACAACAATAACAACAATTCTACCTCAGGAAAGCCAACTCCCACCACTTCCAGGCAAGACCAGCACAATCAATCACAGAGGGTAAACCAGTGCCCCGATCCTACAAAAGGAACTGAAGTAATTTAGCACCCCAAATGTAGTCATCTGGTGCTCATCTCTATGATTTTAAACCATTTAGTGTCAAAAATGGACAAAAACCTGCAATTAGAAATCCATAAGATCAATACTAAGATTTCAGAAAGGAACAGTACATTGAAAGGATAAAGAAGCAGATTTGAAGTAATGGAAGCCCAAATGATTGATCTTGGAGATTAATCTCTCAATACTAGTATGCTAAATGGACAATCAGAAAAACAATTTTTTTAAAAAATCCAAAGAAAAGTTAGGAATTATATGAGACACCATGAAGAAGAATAACTTCCAGGTGATTGAAATTCCAGGACAGGAAGAGACAATAAAAAGCACAGAGAAAATTGTCTAAGAGTTGTTCGAAGAAAACTTCCCTAACATGGAAGAGATGCTGAACAAACTCCAAATGGAATAGAACCCAAGGAAAATCACTAAGACAGATCATAAACTTTCCAAAACAAAAGACAAGGAAAGAATCCCGAGAGCAGCTTGGAAAAAATGAAAAGTTACCTATAAAAGAGAACTGTAAGAAATAAAGATATTTGACCTAGGCTCGATGGCTTGATAATCAGAACTTGACTAGAGGAAGATAAAAAAAAAAAAAAAAAAAAAAAAAAGGAAATGAGGGTACATTTCTACAATTTGATGAACTTGACCTATACTCATGGAAGTAGTAGCTCTAAATACCAACAGAGAGGGAAGGAATCTTCACAACAAGTATCAATGCTATCTCCTCTGTACACAGGGCAGATGGGGATGGGCAACTTAGACATTGGCTACCTAAAATGAGAGAGCAATAATGGCACAAAGTGACTAGTTTACAAGGTTTCAAGAGAGTTAGTTTAAGAGTGTATGGGGGAAGGTACAGTCCCCACTGAATAGTTTTCATCTTGTCTAGATGGGTCTGGTAAAAAGATATGGGGATAAGATTCTTTTCTTTTTAAAAAAATGTTTTATTGTGAATTATGTGATAGTTTACATGGGAGAACATTAGCTTTACATTCATCCTATCATATATCATTACATTGCCATGGTTATAATCCCCTCCATGCATCATCAATCAACCAAATGGTATACCCCACAAGACTGCCCCCTGATCATCAGCACACAGCCCCTCACCCTCTCTGGGTCTAGAGTTCCCAGCCACTCCATCTCTCCATGTCATAATTTCTGCCTCCATCTCTGGCATCACTGCTTCTCTGGGTAGGGTCCTGCTCTCCACTCTTTTCCCTTGATGGTTCCAGAGCCCTCCGCTCCTGGACTGCAAAGTCAACCGCTTCCCTCCTTTTTCTACAAAACGTCTACCGTTATATTTCCAACCCTCACAGTCAGTCCTGACAGTAATTATTCACTATTGTACCACATGAGTGCTATGCCCATCTCCTTTCATCAGCCCTGCCCAGACAGATTGGATACTACTCAGTGGAGATTCTACCTTCCTCCACACCCTCTGGATCTAGGCTCCCTCTTGAAATCTTGTAAGCCAGTCACTTCTTGCCTTTGTAGCCCCCTCCCCATCATTTTGAGTAGCCAATGTCCAAGTTGCCCTTCCCTGTCTACCCGTGTATGGAGGGGGTAGGAATGATCCTCGCTGTAAAGATTTGTTCCCTCTTTTGAGCTACTGAATCCATAGGTGTAAGTCAAGTTCATCAAATTGTATCAAATTACTCTTTTTTCCTCTTCTTTCTTCTTCTAGTTGAGCTCTGATCATCCAGCCATTGAAGGGGACAAGATTCTTATGATACAATAGTAATTGTTATCACAACTAATTGTGACTGTCACAATTGTAAAGGTAGAAGGTTTGTAACAAAATGGGGGAGTAGTTAATCTTACAGTTCAGAAACAGAGGACCCTAGAACCATCAAGGGAGAAGAGCAAAAGTGGAATGTGAGACCTTATCCAGAGAAGCAGCGACACCAGAGATGGAGGCAGAGA